ATGTTTTTTTTTTGCAAGTGCATCTGCCTCTTCACAAAATGCTGCCATGAGTCCTGCCTCCCAGGTCCCTCCTTTTGTTCCTGCCACCCCTGTGATGAGTGCTGCCTACCAGGTCCCTCCTTTTGTTCCTGCCACCCCTGTGATGAGTGCTGCCTCCCAGGTCCCTCCTTTTGTTCCTACCACCCCTGTAATAAGTGCTGCCTCCCAGGTCACTTTTGTTTCTGCCACCCTTGTTTTAACTGTTCAAGATGCTTCCACCACCACAAAGGCAATCCTGAAGATCATCTCTCACTTCCCGAGGTCATGAATGATGCTGAAAGTCTTTCAGTACTTCAGGATCTCATCCATCCACCCACCAGTGCTACAAGCAGCAAGTTAGGTAAATAAATTCTCGCAATAATTTTCTTATTGGTCAAGATTATGAAATCTATTTTAATTTTTATGAAATTTATTTTAATTCTTATCTCTGCTTTCAATGTAGCTTTTATCCATTTGTTCAAACTTAATTATCAAAATATGAAACAAAAGGCCCATGGGCCAAAACGCTCACCTGGGTCAATATTAGAGATGGGTATTGCCAAAAATTTTGTATTGTCATATCACAATTTTTTCCAAAAGTATCGCAATAAAATCATGATATTTTTTCATATTCTTTACTTTGATTTTAAATGAATTTCCATGATTTTTCTAACAAATATAGTGTGAAAACATAACTTCATTTTTTTTTTATTTTTATTTAGGCCTATATAAATGTATAATAAGGCATGTTTGGATGCTAGGATGCCGTTGTTTTACTATTTTGCAACATTTTTTACAGTTCCTTTAAATGAAGTTTAAAATTTATATTTACACAGTGAATACCGGTATTTTAGTATCCGTATCATGATATGTATCGCGCAATTAAAAATGACGATATACCTGTATACCGATTGAATCGCACATCCCTAGTCAATATGACCCTGCTATTCTTCATCAACAGATTTTTTAGGGTCTTCCGTCTCCAACGGAAGACCCTTCTATTATTCTATTGTTTCTTTTTCACTATTATTATTATTATTATTATTTTCTGTCCAAATTTTGTGCAGACGATATCTCAGAGATGCCTTGACAGATTTACTCGAAATTTTCAGGGATGTTGTATCGTGATCTAAACTTGATACATTTTCTTTAATTTTTGGAAATTTATTTCCGGTCGGAAGTTATCGCCCGTTAATTGAATTTTGTCTACACAAAAACGACAAAAGCTAGAGTGCCGAACTTTTCAGTGATGATAGACGACATGTTGTAGTTGTGCACCTCGGTAGGGGTCGAAATTTAGGACATGAATCAGGGGTGAATTTTCGAGACATTTTTTTTTATCATATCCTCAAAACTATGTTCAAAGTCATGAGAGCTGTAAGAAGATATCAAGAAAATAGGGCTGGCCCCTCAAAATAGGGGCCAAGACGGGCCAAAAGTCCTTAATCTATAACTCTTTAATGATCAATATTTTGTTACAGATTACAGATAACTAAAACAAAATTGTTCGTCTTAACAATTTATTTTTTATCATTATATTTGAGCGAAAGTCTCAGTCAAATTCTTATCTCATCTTATCAAAAATCGGACGGAAGACCCACTCGTTGCTCGCAACGAGATCGCATCTAGTTTATTTTATATTCCTTTGAAAAACTTTTATTCCTTTGTGACCAAACCCTATCCCCAGGTGTCATGATTTTTATAGATTTAGCCCCATCCTACTATTCAGGGTCATGATATAAACAAACTTTAATCTGCACTACCTCAAGATACTTCCATATGAATTTGACTATACATGGCTTTGATGTTGAGAAGAAGATTATTGAAGATTTTCCTAAATATTCCAATGCAAAACTTTGATCCCATCTTGTGGCTCCACCCTACCCCGGGGGATCATTATTTGAGCAAACGTGAATCTACACTACCTAAAAATGTTTCCATATCAATATGACTAATCATAGCTTTTCTGTTTTGTGTAGTTTTTTCCTCTCTACCTATCTAAAAATTTGATCCCCCATTCTGGCCCCATCCTAACCCCTATGGTCATGATTTGAAGAAATTTGAATTCACACTATGTAAAGTAGTTTTCATATAAGTTTCAACTTCTTTGGTCCAGTGTTTCATAAGAAGAAGATTTTTAAGAGATACCACCAAATCTTCTCTAATTCTTAATGATCTCCCCTTCAAAGAGGGTGTGATTTTCATCGAGGGGTGCAACGATACACCAACCTCACGATACGATATGCATCATGGTATTCAGTTCACAATATGATACATATCATGATACATTCACTTAAATTAAAATATTTTATTACGTTTATCATCACAAACCAAGATAATAAGCATTGTTCTGGAGTTCAATACTGGCAATATAACTTAAGGTCAATAATTATCGACGTATTGCAGTAAAGACAGTACATTTTCAATAATTTCTCTCAGTTTGTCGAGAAAAATGGGGGGGGGGGTATCAGTACGTTTGACGGCGATTAGGGATTAATTAATTATACCCTCCGCAAACGAAGTTTAGGGGGGTATATTGGAATCAGCATGTCCGTCCGTCTGTAGACGAGATTTTGTCCGGACCATTTCTTGGAAACTGCTGCAAGGATTTGTCTGAAAATTTGTACACTTATTATTTGCCATATGAAGGTGTACACCTGGTATTTTCATCATGATTGGATAATTTTTTGCATTTTACAGTTGTTTTTTCATTTTTATTATGTGGTTTTGTCCGGATCTGTTCCCAGAGACTATTGCATAGATTTGTATGAAAATTTGGTCACTTATTATTTACCATATGAAGATGTGCACCTGGTGTTTTCAACATTATTTGATAATTTTTCAGCATATTACAGGTGTTTTTTTTCCTCATTTTTATTGACTTAATCATTTCGAGTTCATGTCTAAGGTTTGAGACAAAGAATCTAGAACATCTGTACCAAAAATGTGAACTACAGCTTAAAACTACTCATTATAATCTAAAAAGAAATCACAAAGTATTAAAAACAGTTTTTACATTACACAGCAGATAGTGTAAATCCATTTGTCCCTTGGGAGTAATGAGTGGACATGCATCCAGTTAAAGATTAATTAATGAGTTCATTATGGGAAACTGTTAGGGCATCTCTGATCAAGCAGGTCTTATCTATATCTCCTGGGAATTGGGCAGAAAGAAATAAAGATCTTTGTTGTTTAAGTCTCTTAATTGTAATTTATGTCTGTCAAAATACATAGTTACTGGAACCAGCCTTTTATTTTTAAAATGAGTTTGATATAAAGGTATTAAGATCAATTTGATTTTGTATAATTAATTATGATTTTTTTTTCAACAATCAATTTGCAGAGTGTCATGTCTCACAAAGATGACAGATAGTTGCAAACTATTTTTTCAATGTAATAAAAAACACTGTAATTATTAGTATTGATGTTTTATTAGGCTGCACCTTAGTTTCATTCATTAAAAAAAATATAATGAGTAATTAAATTTTCACTCTAAATGTTTAAGCAAATTGTGAGCACCTCTCACATGTAGAAAACATTAGTGATTTGGTACCTTCTCTGAAAAACCCAGCGGGGGTATTTGTCCCTTTTGGACAGTTCTAGTTCTAGTTGTTTTCATAATGAATATAAAGAAAAAGTTATCAGTAGATATACGCTGTACCCTAACAAAAAAATATTATAGTAAACTATAGTTAACTATAAGTTACTATAGTTAATTATAGTACCAAAGTAAAATCTTTGGAACTTTGATTTACTATAGTAAAAAACTTTGGAACTTTGATTTACTAAAGTGAAAACTTTGGAACTTTGATTTACTATAGTAAAAACTTTGGAACTTTGATATACTATAGTAAAAACTTTGGAACTTTGATTTACTGTAGTGAAAACTTTGGAACTTTTAACTATAGTAAACTATAGTTAACTAGTATAGTATAGTACATGTAAGATAATTCAAGGAAAATGAAAAGTTGAATTAATTTAATTGAAAATCAGAAATCTAAATCATAACATTGGCTTTAATCAGCTTTTCAGTGTACACAATTATGTAGAATTAAAACATGCAATACTATGTGGAGAAAAGATTAATATAATTAATTAACTATAAATTAAAAAGAAATGTAAAACTCATTAACTCTTTAAAATATCCCTTTACTCATTTCTCAGATGTTAAATGGAAAACTCATTTAAAATACTTGGACAAAAGTATTTAAAAAAAAAAAAGAAAAATACATGTACAACATATAAATAAAACATTTTCAGTTATATCTAGAATCAAGGGCGCTCTATCCATTTTGAAAATTAATCTCTCAGAAATACATGTATTCAAAAGGAACCATGAAATAAAATAAGATTTTTTTTTTGAATATTAAATAAATTTCCTAGGATACAAAGCTTTTCAGGGTAAGACAAAGTAAAATTTGTTGTACATTGGTATATACTGAATAAACTGTAGAATGTTTTGATGTACTGTGATGTACAATATGAGGGTTCAGGGAATAACAGCAATGTACTGTGAAGATCAGTTATCTGTACAGCTAATATCTGTGACGTACAGTGGTAAGCAGTGGCTGCGTACTGTGAAGTATTGTGAAGTACAGTGATGTACAGAGGAAGTGTACTGTGAAGTACAGGGAGGTGCTGTGAAATGCTGTGCTTCTGTACAGTGTTTTACTGTTATGTACTGTGAAGTACAGAGGTAAGTACAGTAATGTACAGTGAAAGTACAAAGGTTGACAGAGATTTTCAGAGAAAAATAAGAATATCAGGGGATAATAAGTCCAGTAGTGTTAAAAACCATTTGCCTAGCAAAAATGACTTTTTAGTAGGTAAATAATTTAAGTGGGTTCAATAGGTGACTTAGTCTTACATTTCCTGTATGGTTCTATGAGTTCTTTACTCTGTTTCTTGATGCATATCAAAAAAAAGTTTTAGTTAAAGTACATTCATAATTACTATAATAGAAATTAACATGATATAGCTTTTATATTAGGAATAAAATTACCAATTCCCATAGTTCTACACTGTATTTTCTTAATACAAATAATCCTGCAAATAGCAAAAATGATATATAGTACTGTATTTACATAATTAACACTTTTTATAATGTATTAACAATTTAAATGAAGAAACACCTTTTAAAAGTACTCCAGTTTATCTTTTCTCAATTTCGACCCATATCTCGTCTTTTGGATGAGTGACATAGCCGTATACTGGTGTGACGACCTGACCTTCAACCATTCTGATTTTGAACTTTCTAAGCAAGGTCGCAAGTCCTATGATGGCCTCAGCATAAGCAAATTTGTATGCAGGACACATTCTCTTGCCGGCAAATCCGAACGGCTGGAAGGCAAGAGTTGGTCTCGACTTCTTGTTTTCAGGACTAAATCGATCTGGATCAAACCTTGGACAAGAAAGTACAAATTATACTGCTTTGACTTAATACTTTTATTTTCTTTTTCAATACTTGCGATACTTTTAGCTTTGAGCTTTGAGCCGAAGGCTAAAGTGAGTTTTTCTGAGCAAAGAGTGTCCAGCGTCCGTCTGTGATCTCTAAACTTTCACATTTTTGACTTCTTCTCAAGAACCACTGAACCAATTTCAGCAAAACTTGCCAAAAAGCATCTTTGGAAAAAGGGAGATTAAGTTTGTTCACAGGAAGTGCCACGCCCTTTTCCAAGGGAGATAAGTAAGAATTCGTAAAAATTTGGTGGCGTCCTTTAAAAATCTTCTTCTCAAGAACCACTGGGCCAGAAAAGATGAAACTTCTGTGAAAGCTTCATTACATTCTCTAGATTCAAATTTGTTCATATCATAACCTCCGGGAGTAAGGCGGGGCAACTAGAGGGGATCAAAGTTTTACATAGGATTATATAGGAAATGTCTTTAAATATCTTCTAGAGAACAGCAAAGCCATGATGAGTCATATTTTTATAGAAGTGTCATCAGGTAGTGTAGATTTAAGTTTGTTTTCAATCAGTACCCCTGGGGGTAGGATAGGGCCACAAAAGTTGGTCAAAGTTTACCATACGAGTATACAGGAAATGTCTTAAAAATTTTCTTAACAAGAACAGCTAAGCCTTTATCAGTCATATCAATATTTGACCCGAATACTTCAGATTATTGAACAGGTTTTGTTTCTTTTTAACTAGTTCATTTCCAAGCCCTGTTCATATCATGGATGATGCATTCTACTGATGCACACTCTTAAATATGCTTCAGATGCTGCATGTGCCAGAAAAAGTTTTAGGAACATGTTTATTCGTAAGTAATTATTAGCCCTATTTTACGTGTTGTATATGTACTTGCATAGACATTGCATCTGAGATGCAAACTAACAAGACATTCTCTTGGTGGTTTGGCCTAATTTTAAAATAATGAATGATAACATACAGAAAAACAAGGTGATCTTTTAAGTTTTGATCGTCGTTGATTATCCTTGTCATATTGTACTTTTGACACACAGATTAATGTTACTTCTTGGGAAAGTGGTATTACTTACTTGTTGGGAACAGGGTAGTACTTCCCATTCTGTAGACTTACACCAAGAGCATGAATTACAGGAGTCTGAAAGTGATGCAAGATCCTTTTGTGAAACAAATGCATCTGATTGAAACATGTATTTAAGGTCTGACGACACATTGCTCGAATATCTGTTTTTTGTATCTCTTCGTAATACACAAGAAATTCATCATAATTATCATTATCTTGTGACATTTAAACTGTTTTCAAAATGTCTTAAGGAGAGGACACGATGCTCGAATATCTGTTTTGTATCTCGTCATTAATATAGAACAAATTAATCATAACTATCATTTTCTTGTGATTTTTAAAATCTTTCAAAATGTGTAAGTAGATAAAGACACAAAAAATGTGATATTTGCAATGCTAGTGATTTCCAGTAGGATTATATAGTTAATAACATCTGTAATCGTGCATAAATGCCTGGTAAGGGTCCTTAATTTTTTGTGAGGAAACTTGTTGCAGTAGCAATACTTCAATGACAAATTCTTGGAAAAATTATATATCGTTGAGGAACATGACCTTAAATGTAACTAGAGCTTTATCAGTTCATATCAACAGTTAATCTAATTTGAGTTTTCTATACCCTATAATAACAACATATTTTCTTAAGCAATTTTTCATGAACATACCTCATCAGATCATGAAAGTCAGGTGTCTTACATTTTTTGGAATTTTATGCCCTCCGAGTTCCGAGTCGATATCCTGATACCTGGCAGCCCAAGGAGCCACTATAGCACACCTTAAAGTTTCGTCAATAACTTGGTTTAGGTACCTAGCAAAAATAAAAATACCCGGATTAAGAACCCAATGTCTAATTGCCCTTCTCAACTGGTGAAATGTCGGTGAGTAGAGATTGTGTGGTTCTTGCCTACAATACAGAATTAATGCCAAAGATATTTCAGCCCAATTCAAATAATGAAAATGAGACATCTAATGCCTTATTCTCAAAAGTTCATTCAAACAATTCTATTTATGAGCAGAGCCAACACGGACCACTGAAAACAGAAATGGGATAAAGTTCCATGGAGGAAGTAGACATAAAGAATAATAGCGATAGAAAAATAACAAACAAAACCTTAAAAATATATCTTTTAATCTGAATCGATTTCTTAAAAAAGAAAAAAAATAATTTTTGCCACACCTACAGTAGATCTCTACTATGCTATACTGGTGTCAACCTCCTACATTGGTATTCACATCCCACTTACACTAAAACTTTTGCATGTTCTGGGGTTTTCATTCCACTTACACAAAAATCTTTGTCTGTACTAATGTTTACATCTTAATTTCACTCAATATTTGTCTGTATTTGAGTTTACATCTTACACTAAATCTTTGACTGTACTAATGTTTACATCTTATTTACACTCAATATTTGTCTGTATTTGAGTTTACATCTTAAACTAAATCTTTGTCTGTACTAATGTTTACATCTTATTTACACTCAATAGTTGTCTGTATTTGGGTTTACATCTTAAACTAAATCTTTGTCTGTACTAATGTTTACATCTTATTTACACTCAATATTTGTCTGTATTTGAGTTTACATCTTAAACTAAATCTTTGTCTGTACTAATGTTTACATCTGATTTACACTCAATAGTTGTCTGTATTTGGGTTTACATCCTACTTAAACTAAATCTTTGTCTGTACTAATGTTTACATCTTATTTACACTCAATATTTGTCTGTATTTGAGTTTACATCTTACACTAAATCTTTGACTGTACTAATGTTTACATCTTATTTACACTCAATATTTGTCTGTATTTGAGTTTACATCTTACACTAAATCTTTGACTGTACTAATGTTTACATCTTATTTACACTCAATATTTGTCTGTATTTGAGTTTACATCTTACACTAAATCTTTGTCTGTACTAATGTTTACATCTTATTTACACTCAATATTTGTCTGTATTTGAGTTTACATCTTACACTAAATCTTTGTCTGTACTAATGTTTACATCTTATTTACACTCAATATTTGTCTGTATTTGAGTTTACATCTTACACTAAATCTTTGTCTGTTCTGGTGTCTACATTCTTCTTAATACACTAAATCTTAGTCTGTATTAATGTTTACATCATACGTTCACTACAGCTTTCTCCGTTTTGGGGTCTACATCATACTTATATAATATAATAATGCACCAGGGTCTATACTTATATAATGTCGTTAATGTACAAGGGTCTACATGCTACTTAGTACATAAATTTCCGACTGTACTCGGGTTTAAATCCTACTCACAATAAATCTTTGTTGTAAATCGGCATTGCGGTCTATGTCCTACGTACTCTAAACCTTGAGGTTTACATCCTACTTGCACTAATCTTGGTCTTTATTAGGATCTACATTCTGCTTACACTAAATCTTTGCCTGTAAAATGGTCTACAGCCTAATTACACTAAATTTTTGTCTGTACTAGTCTACATCCTACTTACACTTAATATTTGTCTGTACTAGTCTACGAAGGCTTATCAAAAAGTTCGTGGACTGATCCGATAAAATTTATACTATGTAGTCTGTGCTTACAAAATTTATATAAAAAAAAAATAATAAAACAACAAAAGTTTAAGAAATGTTGAAAATTTTAGCTTGATACGTTGATCATTATATGATCACCCGGCGCTGTCGCCGTTTATTCCAACAACGTCATTGTTTCTCAATGTCCGCTCTATCTCTCTCTACCTCATAAACTTATCTTGATGAGATTACCGGAGTACTCGGAATTAAGTAATGACTTAAGCCCGTCTTCCTTATATGACCTAACAATGTCATGAACATCTGCTATCAATGCATATAATATTGTAAATGGATCTATACATAGGGAAAGATCCTCAATTGATTATGCCAGATTACTGAGCTTGTTGGAGTTCAATTTCTACTACACGTGATCAACGTCACTTTTGGAATTGACTGACTTTTGACACCTTAACTACAAACCGTCATTAATTGTGCATCTTTCTTCTCTCTGAATCTTTTTGGGAATGTAGCGGGAAAGTCCTTTTCCCAGTAGCGCTGCCACCAGCTGATTATCTCCCATCAGCAAGGAAACTCAAATATGACCTCTTATAAAAATAAAATAAAATGACCTGACCTATTCAACTCTCAATACTTTTACTCTGACCCTGACACTGATCATTACCAACACCTGAACAGAAGTCTAAAAGACATGTAAATGAGACACAAATTCATAAAGTTAACGAATTTATTCATTCAAATCAATATGGCAAGCAAAATATTAAACAACGCGGCTGAGGACTTCACTCATGTGCGTAAAATTGTTTCACAAAACCGACACGATGACGAGATCGACCAATATCCTAGTACAATTAAAGGGGAAAACTCGGAATAACTCAATGTGACAAAACAAGAAGGTCAATCACTTCTTGTATAAAATTTAAAAGCTAAACTCATCTGAGGCTATCACTCTTGAGTTTCTTATCAGTAATTAGAAATGAATAAGCTATAGAATTCTCAGGGGAAAAAATCACCCTTAAGAATCTAAAAGTTCCTAATAAAATTTCTCTGAGGAAAATCACTCTTGAGAAATACCTTAAGTCTTCATACAACAGTAATTAAATTAATTATCAATTACAATGATCACTTGAGACAATCATCAAGTTATGTTTTCAACAAAGACTTTTCTAAAATAAAATTTCTGTCACAAATGATTAAAAAAGAGAGCCTAATTTAAGAAATCAGATGGACCAGACTTTCCAATAAAGTTAAAATTAATTAACTCAATAAAGTTCTACCAAATGTAGTTTGCTATCAAATCTCAACTGATCAAAGTCTCAAACAATCTTTAAAATTAGCCAAATAAATTATCAAAATATTTGCTACTTCTCATAAATCAATAAAACAACTTTCCGTAAATAAAATTCAATAAGTTTCTTTTCAAAAATTTAGATGTAGCCTAAACAATAACAAAATAAAATATAAAACGACTTACGTTGCCTCAAGAATGAGAGAGAACCAAAAGACTTCGAATTACAGAATTTACCAGGCTTTTATACTATGAAAATCAGAGTTCTATACATCGCACGAGCAAAACATAGAAAAATACAGAAAAACACAGAATCTGTATTATTACGTGATATTAACAGAAAATATAACAGAAAATCTTAATACAGAATTCTCTTAGCAAAATCTCGTCGATTTTTGTCTATAAAATTATAAAACAAACCGTAATATCAAAATTTCAAAACATCAAAGTCATCTCCTAGAACGTTTGTCTTGGTATCTATGGTGCGAAGGCGGTGTCCGGGACCCTTCTCTTTTCTGCGTGGGAAGCTTTTTCATAATTTGTCTCAGTATCTTATTCTGCTCTTCTATGGGACAGTCCATTGATGGCCTGGGTGACCTTACTACACATATCCTGCACGGTTTCCACCAACTGAGCACTCAAGCTAGATGAAGAAGATGAGGAAGAGGAGGGTGTATGTGCTCGGGTCCTATGCTCTGCATCCTGAGGGATGGCTGCCTCCTGAGGGTTCTTGCGCTGCTATATCTTCCTCCGGTGGTTCCTGAGAGGGGTTCTTCCTCTGCCAATATCTCATCCAGTAAATTTCTAATGGCCCAAGTTTGGTCGGACTTCAAAGCTCCAACGGTACAGGCGTCTGAAGAGAGGCAGTAGAAATCTGTGTCTTGAGAGGTACTCCGACAGATGAAATCTTGTTCTTTTCCTTTTTACCTGCGTCCTTGCTTCTCCAGTACTCTTCTGAATGATTCCTGCTCCACCTCTCCATGTCTATCCCTTCTTTGACTTCATATGGTTTAGCTGCCACCAGCATGTACTGAGTCTCTGGAAATTTATCTCCTCTCGCCTTTGTTTTTGATCTTTAGAACACCGATATCGGCACAAAGTACAGGAATAGGGAACATCGAACAGGGGAACATGCACTCTCAAAAAATGATTATCAATGTTAGCTTTATCTCCAGCCGTCAGCTTGATAGGCTTACAGTGTATACATTAAAATACTCTTCCTCTGGCCATCTGTATAATAATGTTAATAATTTTCATTGTAAATAAGATTTTATTTCTCATTAACATCATACCTTATCATTGTTCTGAGGTTATCACTCTTTCAATGACAGATAAAATAAAGGGGTAAAGGGAAAGGGTAGGCATTAAAATTTGTCGATCTGTCGCCGTACGCGTCGGTTGAACTTTACGTTAAACTCTTTTTAAGCGCGCTCTATAATTTACATCATAAAGGAACATCAGTGCCGCAGTATTTCTTCAATTTGTTGTGATGCACGACTTTTGAGCTTCCATCTTCTTTGTACTGGATTCTGAAATTAAGATCATTTAACTTTTCTGTGATAACAAATGGACCCCAGTAAGCATCTTGTAACTTCGGTGAGATGCCTTCTCTTTTGGACTCATTTAGATACCAGACAACTTCTCCTTCCTTGTATGACAATGTTTTCTCTCTCTTATCGTAGCGTTCTTTCTGACGTTTAGCTGAACTGGCCAAATGCTTTTGCGCAATCTTATGTGATGTTTGTATTCTCTCGCGAAGAAGTTCTACATATTCACCATAAGATGAAATAGTCTTCTTGGTGGTGTCCAGACTCCCAAAACAATGGTGGTGTCCAGACTCCCAAAAACAATCTCTGTAGGTTATCTTATCTACTTCCCCAACATTAACATGTTTGGTGTGAAACCTTTGGAATAATGGGTTGATGATCTGTAAGCTCCAGCTATGCAACCTAAGAAAAGATCCCAATCTGTCTGTTGTCCTTTCAAATAGGCTTTTACC